CCGCTCACGGTCAGTGACCTGGAAAGTTCACTGAACTAAACAAAACACCACGAGCAATATGCTACTGCAACATGAGGTCGGGGTGCAGTATTTCCTAGAAAAACCCTCGGCTTTGAAAACTACATAGTTCAGACAAAAATACTTTTGGTTTCCTCCCAGAGCTCGGCACACTTAACAGGATGCATCTTTAGTCTTTAAAAACATCGACGAGTTCTACGACTTGGGAATTTTCTATACGGCCAGGAGCGAACGAAGCATACTTTTCTATCTCAAAAATCTGTGATAGAGAATCGAATACTACAGAAGTTTGTGCCGTGACTTTGAACTTGGATAGCAACCTGCAAAGGAATCGCACACCCAAGGCGATTATGATTGTGATTAAGAGTCTCGTTGTTCATGTCAGGTAGAGGAAGATTTTGGGACTCAGGATTTCGATGGGTATGGTTCAAAGGCCAGCAGGGCTCTGCTGCATAGATCTTTCAGGGCTCTCCTAATTCGATGATGCGATTTGGACTATCGACAATTGGTGGATTGCATGCCGTACACGAACTTCCATTGTGAAGGGTTAGGTTGGCTAAAAGGCTAAATCTCCTCCCTCAGAATTAGCTTTTGGGAGCTAACGAAAGCTTTCAAGACTTGAGGCAGCAATGTAAGACTTTCGCGTTGTTGTTAGAGTTATATGTAAACACGAACTCCGAAAGTGGTGAGCATGGGTTCAGTGCGCGGCACCGCCAGGCGCTGAAGGACGAATTAGTGACGTTGCCTCCCATGCGGCAGAATGACGTTCTCTTGGGAGGCCAGCACGGTACCCTTGATATAGATTAGAGCAATCAGGGCATGGTTGATCCTGAGGTGCTTTACGATTACAACCGCGAAATGGGTAGATTTAAGGAATCGGGAATGTTTAGAAACGAAACTACCAATAATTAAGTGCGGAGGACAAATCTTCGTGTTTCTGGCAGCAAAACGGCGTTTGATAAGCACAATAGCCACAGTAGTTACCGATAACAATGCAAATCTGGAGGCACGTGCATTCAGGTTCTCGGATATTATATCCGGATTTCGAGTCACTGTGACGCTAAAAGCAAAATGCAGTAAAAGTCGCTGCGCACCAACTGCCATTTGAGATGAGAAGGAATGAAGCGACTGCCAGCTCGGCGAACAGACCACCACCACCAACAACAACAAACAAGCAGCACACCAAAGCTACCTACATTCTACAACACTGCCAGGATTGAAGCGATTCAATTTTGAGCTTATTTAGATGAAGTGTCGTGGGCGTGGAAAAGAAAAAACCGCGTGTGAAAATAATTTTCCAGCTTGTCCACAGTGTGGTAGAAATCGGATTATGAGTCAAAGGTATGCTAAGACTGGTAGCTGATTCAAAGTGCCACCTCATCCGTCGTCACGACGGAGCTCGATGATGATAAAGCTCTGAGACATCGCCGAGCGTAAAATATTTCTTGGGAGGCATGCTCTGGCAGGGAAAAATTAATTACAGTCTAGGCTCTGCTATTTAGGTCCACAATACTGGACGCTTTCTCTCCTTAGAGAAATGTGAGGATTCCTTGAGTTTCCAAAAGTTTTGATGAGGCACTTGCCTTTTATTAGCAACTTTCACATGTGAAAACCATCAAACAGGCCTGCTTCTGTCAAAAGAAACAACAGCCAGGACTCCATATGATATCCTAGTTAGTGCCCGACGAAATTTTCACAGGCTGGCAGAGCGTCGGGACGTTTGTAGGTTTCCTAGATGCCAAATCGTCAGCAAGTTAGCAGTGGATCAGATTTCCAAACTTTACCATCGCTGCAGATCGTTCTATGAGTTTTGAATCGGCGGCGAACCCTTTTCACTAATTTTCTGTCACAGACGCCTCTCAAGGGTCTTCTTTCCATTCAAGAATACCCCTCTCGGCATTTGCAGGGCTGACTGGGGATTGGCGTTTCTCACGTTTAGTAATAGCCTTAATTCTGGTGGCTTTTGTGGCTGATGCTAATAACCTGGATTAGTGTATCCCTTGGATTTTCCCTAGCCACCTTCGGGAAAGCTGCAAAATCGAGAAGTAGACTTATCGGAATTCTTATACGGTCATTGACGGACCCAAGGTAAACCAGCAGCTCCACACAGAGTCCCTCTTGATCCCAAACCCATCGCTTATCATAATCTAATCTTGGCCTTTTGTACACCCGGTTGTTGCCATCCGAGCACAATAGTGCCGAATTCGAGAATGAGATAGATTCAGATTACTGAAACGGACGCCCCAGTTTACATCCCGTCACATTTTCTCGTATCTGGAAGGGCGTAAATTGGACAAACTCGTCCGTAGTCTCCCATTTCGGTCTTCTCTGTCCCATTGTGATGATAGCCGTTTTCCAATATGAAAATCGCATGGTAGTCTGTGTAAGTCAGGCATGCAAAATTACTGTTGGCATTGAAATGACCCTTGCGAGGGTTTGTTTGTTTGTATGGGAATAAACGTTATTATCAGTAATACTATTATTGTGCGGCAAGCCAGTCCACCCTAGAATTCTGCGACATGGCCGAACGACTCACTTATTGGCTAACCTATTCTTTTTCGATTTTTCCAGCGCTTACAGAGATATTCGGAGTTGCAAATGACTGAGGGGGCAACGTGCTCCATCGAATCGATAGTCTGATAAATGAACCTGAAGGAAATAATTGCCTTTTGTTGATTGGGCGGAGTTAAATGCCTGTTTTTATCTTTCATCAAAACTACTATCTTCGGCATCGAGAATTTTTATTAGGTAAAATTATAACAGAACCGATGATATTATACGATTGGTTTCCACTGTTTTGACTCCAACATCCTGTCTGGTTTTTTTTTAGTTTGGACTACAAGCCCTGCTATGGTTTGGTACTGCAATTTATGATGACGGCGATGTTTCAAATAGACATTTTTATCCTGCGCCTTCTTAACTCCGCTGGTCCACCCCGAAGAGAATCCCTTCTGTCAAAACCCTATATTGGGTTTGATCACCGGCGTCCTGTGCTTCCGAAGTGACTTACTCTGAACAAATGAAATGGGTTCAACAAGCTGCTGTGCTAGACAGTCAATATATCCTGCAGAATAAATGACACAGCGGCCGATGAATCGGGTCCACCATAGGCCATTATTTCGAGCGGGAATATTTCCCCGCTAGGTCACTAACGCCTTTCGGCCTTCTTGGGGTCACGATATCAGTCGGGTGTATTTGGCCGGCAGTTGGGACGAGCGGAGAGGGTACGACTGTGGGAAAGGGTATGCTACTGTGAGCGGGTGCCTTTGTGGCTTGGCAGCTTCATTGCATACTACGGATCAGAACCCACAAAATTTTACGGACCTGCTCAAGCTTGCATTTACTTGTTGTTATTTTTCTACCAACTGCCTAATCAACATGGGCGTCTCGGTTAGCTTGCAAGCGTTTGACTTAGGGGGTTCTGGTCAGTATTCTGTGCCTAGATGACATGCCATGAGTAGGTGACCGTTCGGGTTGCCAAAGAAACTATTACAGAACATGATCCTTTGGTCTAAATGTGCGGCACATTTTTCATCACCTCAATTTCCCATTCTTCAACCACTCTACCAAATGGATAGCTTCCTGTATGTACAAATTCAAGCCAGCTGGTCACATCATGAGAGTAGCGGTAGGCCACATTTCCTTCAAATTCAATGCAAGGTAGCGCGTGAACTGTAAATATTGTCCAGATCAAGTATATGCCTAGACTTCGGATGTGTGTAAACAAATATTGAATAGGCAAATGAGCTCGACCCTCGTGTATGCATATTCGAGCATGACTGAGTCTGTGACACCGACCAGAACCTTGAGCAGGTGAAGAGAACACACAATTGACCGGTAAAGTGTGAGCGAATAGATTCGTTTGGATGAACAGGAGTTGCCGTTAAAATCTGTCACATTTTCACGTGGTGTACCTGGTAGACGAGTTAGGGAGGTATCAGCTACTGTGAATGAATTCATTCTCTTTAATTAACGCACTGCTGCTATGAAACTTGGTGACCAACAGCCGTCCGACCGTGACGAACATCCTGTTTATTAGCGAATGGTGTGCAATCTCTTTCCGCGTGTTGTTTCTCACGATCCCCCACGGCAGGGTGAGCGGTCTTGTTGAGAATCAATAGCGCAGTCATTCCTTACATGAAAGAATGATCGCACATCGACTGGCCTTAAAGCATTGCGGATAACCTTACAGACGACATTTCATAGCCAGGGTTGGTGAGTGTAGTTTAGAATTTGAGTAGCATGCGGGTGCCTCAGCTTTCAAAGGTCAAGTCAAAACAAACATTAGTTCTGGCCTGTAAACAGGTGTACACACAAACATTTTATTTCATTTTGATCAATATGACTGCCCGACAAACCCGCATAAGGTAAATTCAGTAGTGATGTGTTCTGACCGCGAAAAAAGTTCTGCTACACGAAAGCCTATACAAGTCTTGAGTCTCACCAGGTGGTCAGACATAAACCGCCTACTTGGGCCATTCGTTGTCAGTTTTGGACTGTTGTTTAGGTACAGGCCTTCCCCGACAGCTAATCGGAGAGAGCACTGCGACTATTCACAAGATGTGAGTTACATGGTCAAACTGTATACGCAATAAAATCGTGGATGGTATGGCGCTGTGATTAAGCCCTCATTAGCAGAAGTAGGGTGACAGAAGGACGCCTGACGCACAAAATACGAACCAGATGGGGGAGAACCTGGCTGGATCCCCGGAAATTGTTGCGGCCAAAACCTGAGGTAAAAAAAATCGTTCAGCTGTAGCACCCTTCTGGTGCCTAGCTGCCATGCCACTCGGAGGAAGCACGAGGGCTGGGATACTGCCAGGTTGCCCAAGCCTAGACAGGGGAAGTCGGGTTCGAACCACGGACCTTCCGGTCAGTAAATTCGCGCTCTTACCACTTGGGCTATCTCGCGGTGTAATCCAGACCCAAATGGACGAGTGATATGACGTAGGGAACAATGAATAATAAACGAAAGTGCCTTTATTACATATAAACTTGAAACGGCACGCAGTTGCACATGTGGACAGACCAAATGTAAGCAAAGTAAGGAAAGAAAAGCACTCTGTCTCTTCATATAAAAAATGTTGAGGAAAAGTCAGTAAGAACAACGTCAGAAAAGGAACGAATGAAAGGCTATGCGCGTGCCAGAAGATTGACAAACAATTTGGGAACAGCGAAATGGTGGGGTATCCGACGGCTGGATGACAGAGAATGGTACAGGGAATTCTGACAACCGATTGCCTTCGACGGGTGGTAAAACGGCTTTACAACTGCCTATTATAAAAAGTATAGAAAAAAGGTAAACAGCCTGAATGGTGTGCTGATAGTCTATACACAGGGATCGACAAAGCCTCGCACAGGATAAGATGGCCCATGATGAAACATCAGTCCAGAGACAAACCTCGCGCCAAATTTCATTACTCCAAAATATAGCAACGCTCAGCGAACTGGTCGGAGCAAAAAAAGTCAGCAACAGCTCGCTATGTAGCCGAATGAATATAAAACAGGATAGGGAGGTGGTTGTATCAGGAGGTCCACTAAGCTCAGAAGCGGAAAGAGTGCAAAACCGCAGATNGGGGGGCAATGTGTTGCGGGTACAAGCATGAATCACATGACAGTATTATCAGCAATCAGCTGATCAGAGATGGGAAGCGGAAGGTTGGTAACCCGGGATGGAGCGCAGGCGGCGTAGTTGGAAATCCTTAATGGGAGAAATAAAAAAGTGGATAGAGGTGGTAGACAGGCAGATTCGTTGAAAATTAACAACACTTCATGCTGCGCATAAAAATATCGGTAGGTCAGCTGCGAATACCGAAAACAACTCGAAGTGTACTGGGAGAGTCTGAGTGTGGCTAAGATAAAATAGTTCCCCTGAGTCGATCACAAATATGCGTAACGGATCGAAAACAGTGATGCCGGTTGTTTAGGGTATGCGGGAAACGGTCTTCCATAAACGAGGGCGAGATGGCCCAAGTGGTTAGTGCGCTAATTTACTGACCGGAAGGTTCGTGGTTCGAACCCGACCTCTGCCTCTCGACTTCCCCTGTCTAGGCTTGGGGACTCTGGCAGTATCCCAGCCCTTGTGCTTCCTTCGGGTGGCATGGCAGTTTGGCGCCAAGAGGGTGCTATAGCTGAACGGTTTTGCTTCCATAAATGTACTCCTGTTGCATGAGTGCTCA